CAAGAAGAAGGCCGGAAAGAAGGAGCAAGTCACCGAGATCGTCACAGTACAAGAAGACGATCAGCTGCCTCAGACAACGGTCACTGTCACTGAGTCCGAGTTGCCCTTTGAAGAAGTCACTGAGTTTAAACCAATTGCCATCCAACCTCAGGAAGCCATCATTCAAGAGCTTCCTGAAGAAGTCAAGGTAACCGAAGTCATCACTGAAGAAGGCAAACCCAGGAAACTAGTTACCAAGAAACGCGTCATCAAGAAGAAGGCCGGAAAGAAGGAGCAAGTCACCGAGATCGTCACAGTCCAAGAGGACGATCAGCTGCCTCAGACAACGGTCACTGTCACTGAATCCGAGTTGCCCTACGAAGAGGTCACTGAGTTCAAACCAATTGCCATCCAACCTCAGGAAGCCATTATTCAAGAGCTTCCTGAAGAGGTCAAGGTAACCGAAGTCATCACTGAAGAAGGCAAACCCAGGAAACTAGTTACCAAGAAACGCGTCATCAAGAAGAAGGCCGGAAAGAAGGAGCAAGTCACCGAGATCGTCACAGTCCAAGAAGACGATCAGCTGCCTCAGACAACGGTCACTGTCACTGAATCCGAGTTGCCCTACGAAGAGGTCACTGAGTTCAAATCAATGAGCATTGTGCCTCAAGAAGCCATCATTCAAGAGCTTCCTGAAGAAGTCAAGGTAACCGAAGTCATCACTGAAGAAGGCAAACCCAGGAAACAAGTTACCAAGAAACGCGTCATCAAGAAGAAGGCCGGAAAGAAGGAGCAAGTCACCGAGATCGTCACAGTACAAGAAGACGATCAGCTGCCTCAGACAACGGTCACTGTCACTGAGTCCGAGTTGCCCTTTGAAGAAGTCACTGAGTTTAAACCAATTGCCATCCAACCTCAGGAAGCCATCATTCAAGAGCTTCCTGAAGAAGTCAAGGTAACCGAAGTCATCACTGAAGAAGGCAAACCCAGGAAACAAGTTACCAAGAAACGCGTAATCAAGAAGAAGGCCGGAAAGAAGGAGCAAGTCACCGAGATCGTCACAATCCAAGAGGACGATCAGCTTCCTCAGACAACGGTCACTGTCACTGAATCCGAGTTGCCCTACGAAGAGGTCACTGAGTTCAAACCAGCTACGATTCAACCTCAGGAAGCCATCATTCAAGAGCTTCCTGAAGAGGTCAAGGTAACCGAAGTCATCACTGAAGAAGGCAAACCCAGGAAACTAGTTACCAAGAAACGGGTCATCAAGAAGAAGGCCGGAAAGAAGGAGCAAGTCACCGAGATCGTCACAGTCCAAGAAGACGATCAGCTCCCTCAGACAACGGTCACTGTCACTGAGTCCGAGTTGCCCTTTGAAGAAGTCACTGAGTTTAAACCAACTACGATTCAACCTCAGGAAGCCATTATTCAAGAGCTTCCTGAAGAGGTCAAGGTAACCGAAGTCATCACTGAAGAAGGCAAACCCAGGAAACAAGTTACCAAGAAACGCGTAATCAAGAAGAAGGCCGGAAAGAAGGAGCAAGTCACCGAGATCGTCACAGTCCAAGAAGACGATCAGCTCCCTCAGACAACGGTCACTGTCACTGAGTCCGAGTTGCCCTTTGAAGAAGTCACTGAGTTTAAACCAATTGCCATCCAACCTCAGGAAGCCATCATTCAAGAGCTTCCTGAAGAAGTCAAGGTAACCGAAGTCATCACTGAAGAAGGCAAACCCAGGAAACAAGTTACCAAGAAACGCGTAATCAAGAAGAAGGCCGGAAAGAAGGAGCAAGTCACCGAGATCGTCACAGTCCAAGAGGACGATCAGCTGCCTCAGACAACGGTCACTGTCACTGAATCCGAGTTGCCCTTCGAAGAGGTCACTGAGTTCAAACCAACTACGATTCAACCTCAGGAAGCCATCATTCAAGAGCTTCCTGAAGAGGTCAAGGTAACCGAAGTCATCACTGAAGAAGGCAAACCCAGGAAACAAGTTACCAAGAAACGTGTCATCAAGAAGAAGGCCGGAAAGAAAGAGCAAGTCACCGAGATCGTCACAGTCCAACAAGACGATCAGTTGCCTCATACAACGGTCACTGTCACTGAGTCCGAGTTGCCCTTTGAAGAAGTCACTGAGTTTAAACCAACTACGATTCAACCTCAGGAAGCCATTATTCAAGAGCTTCCTGAAGAGGTCAAGGTAACCGAAGTCATCACTGAAGAAGGCAAACCCAGGAAACAAGTTACCAAGAAACGCGTAATCAAGAAGAAGGCCGGAAAGAAGGAGCAAGTCACCGAGATCGTCACAGTCCAAGAAGACGATCAGCTGCCTCAGACAACGGTCACTGTCACTGAGTCCGAGTTGCCCTTTGAAGAAGTCACTGAGTTTAAACCAATTGCCATCCAACCTCAGGAAGCCATCATTCAAGAGCTTCCTGAAGAAGTCAAGGTAACCGAAGTCATCACTGAAGAAGGCAAACCCAGGAAACAAGTTACCAAGAAACGCGTAATCAAGAAGAAGGCCGGAAAGAAGGAGCAAGTCACCGAGATCGTCACAGTCCAAGAGGACGATCAGCTTCCTCAGACAACGGTCACTGTCACTGAATCCGAGTTGCCCTACGAAGAGGTCACTGAGTTCAAACCAGCTACGATTCAACCTCAGGAAGCCATCATTCAAGAGCTTCCTGAAGAGGTCAAGGTAACCGAAGTCATCACTGAAGAAGGCAAACCCAGGAAACTAGTTACCAAGAAACGGGTCATCAAGAAGAAGGCCGGAAAGAAGGAGCAAGTCACCGAGATCGTCACAGTCCAAGAAGACGATCAGCTCCCTCAGACAACGGTCACTGTCACTGAGTCCGAGTTGCCCTTTGAAGAAGTCACTGAGTTTAAACCAACTACGATTCAACCTCAGGAAGCCATTATTCAAGAGCTTCCTGAAGAGGTCAAGGTAACCGAAGTCATCACTGAAGAAGGCAAACCCAGGAAACAAGTTACCAAGAAACGCGTAATCAAGAAGAAGGCCGGAAAGAAGGAGCAAGTCACCGAGATCGTCACAGTCCAAGAAGACGATCAGCTCCCTCAGACAACGGTCACTGTCACTGAGTCCGAGTTGCCCTTTGAAGAAGTCACTGAGTTTAAACCAATTGCCATCCAACCTCAGGAAGCCATCATTCAAGAGCTTCCTGAAGAAGTCAAGGTAACCGAAGTCATCACTGAAGAAGGCAAACCCAGGAAACAAGTTACCAAGAAACGCGTAATCAAGAAGAAGGCCGGAAAGAAGGAGCAAGTCACCGAGATCGTCACAGTCCAAGAGGACGATCAGCTGCCTCAGACAACGGTCACTGTCACTGAATCCGAGTTGCCCTTCGAAGAGGTCACTGAGTTCAAACCAACTACGATTCAACCTCAGGAAGCCATCATTCAAGAGCTTCCTGAAGAGGTCAAGGTAACCGAAGTCATCACTGAAGAAGGCAAACCCAGGAAACAAGTTACCAAGAAACGTGTCATCAAGAAGAAGGCCGGAAAGAAAGAGCAAGTCACCGAGATCGTCACAGTCCAACAAGACGATCAGTTGCCTCATACAACGGTCACTGTCACTGAGTCCGAGTTGCCCTTTGAAGAAGTCACTGAGTTTAAACCAACTACGATTCAACCTCAGGAAGCCATTATTCAAGAGCTTCCTGAAGAGGTCAAGGTAACCGAAGTCATCACTGAAGAAGGCAAACCCAGGAAACAAGTTACCAAGAAACGCGTAATCAAGAAGAAGGCCGGAAAGAAGGAGCAAGTCACCGAGATCATTACAGTCCAAGAAGACGATCAGCTGCCTCAGACAACGGTCACTGTCACTGAGTCCGAGTTGCCCTTTGAAGAAGTCACTGAGTTTAAACCAATTGCCATCCAACCTCAGGAAGCCATCATTCAAGAGCTTCCTGAAGAAGTCAAGGTAACCGAAGTCATCACTGAAGAAGGCAAACCCAGGAAACAAGTTACCAAGAAACGCGTAATCAAGAAGAAGGCCGGAAAGAAGGAGCAAGTCACCGAGATCGTCACAGTCCAAGAGGACGATCAGCTGCCTCAGACAACGGTCACTGTCACTGAATCGGAGTTGCCCTTCGAAGAGGTCACTGAGTTCAAACCAACTACGATTCAACCTCAGGAAGCCATCATTCAAGAGCTTCCTGAAGAGGTCAAGGTAACCGAAGTCATCACTGAAGAAGGCAAACCCAGGAAACAAGTTACCAAGAAACGTGTCATCAAGAAGAAGGCCGGAAAGAAAGAGCAAGTCACCGAGATCGTCACAGTCCAACAAGACGATCAGTTGCCTCATACAACGGTCACTGTCACTGAGTCCGAGTTGCCCTTTGAAGAAGTCACTGAGTTTAAACCAACTACGATTCAACCTCAGGAAGCCATTATTCAAGAGCTTCCTGAAGAGGTCAAGGTAACCGAAGTCATCACTGAAGAAGGCAAACCCAGGAAACTAGTTACCAAGAAACGCGTAATCAAGAAGAAGGCCGGAAAGAAGGAGCAAGTCACCGAGATCGTCACAGTCCAAGAGGACGATCAGCTGCCTCAGACAACGGTCACTGTCACTGAATCCGAGTTGCCCTACGAAGAGGTCACTGAGTTCAAACCAACTACGATTCAACCTCAGGAAGCCATCATTCAAGAGCTTCCTGAAGAAGTCAAGGTAACCGAAGTCTTCACTGAAGAAGGCAAACCCAGGAAACAAGTTACCAAGAAACGCGTCATCAAGAAGAAGGCCGGAAAGAAGGAGCAAGTCACCGAGATCGTCACAGTCCAAGAAGACGATCAACTACCGCGAACAACGGTCACTGAATCTGAATACACTTTGGGGGAGGGCGAATTAGACACTTCTGTTACAACACCACATACACAAGCACTCACACAAACACAAATAACACCTGCAGAACCATATGGTAAGAAACATCCATTTACATCACTGCTCACTAGTTATAAAGACTCCGAACACTATTACATTCCGTACAATTTTCTTATAGATGCCGAAACACAAGAACACACAAGTCCTATTTTTGTCACTACATTTGAAACATGCACAGATGAGAAACAAACATTCATCAAATCCAAGAACAAGAAAATCATTAAATCCCAAGGTATGATTGTTGAGGAAACTATGAGTGACGAAGATGTCACTCCTATTCCTCCATCATTTCCCGGAGTCCACATCGAAGAAATTGATGAACTACATGTCACTGAAGGTATGATATGCTAAGTTTTTCGAACGCTGTTTCGCCTGTTTTAGAAAATTTGAATTTTTGTTTTTACCATAGATCATGTAAGTTGTACCCATATCATTAAATATTTTCAATATTTGTACAGACTCTTCAACACCGTACAGCATACAGACAGAACCCGAAGAAACAGCCACGACAAGTCAAGAGCCAGTTCCCAAACATAAACTGTCCAAGAAAAAACAAATACACACACTCATACAAGAACAAATTGAGGATCTTCCATTGGAAGAAGTAGAGATGATTGAACAAGTCGAACAAGAAACAACTGATGTCGCGGTGGAGAAATCGAAACGTAGGGTTATTAAGAAAAAGAGGGTTGATACTAGGGTGGATACTGGTGAAACTGTAACCACAGAAGAAGAAACAATTGAACCTTTGCAAGTCGAAACGATCACAGAAGATATCGCATTTGAGAGTCAGGTTCCAAAGATACTTGAAGAGCACGGTCCTGTTGCAGTTACAACAGTGGAAGAGCTTCCAGAAGATATACAGGTTACCGAACGAGTGACGGAAAGTGGAGAAAGTAAAAGAACGGTTGTCAAAAAACGTACAATTAAGAAGAAATCTATGGGTAAGGAGGAACTCGTTGAAGTTGTAACGATTCAAGAAGATGACAAAGCTCCTGAAACGACTATAACAGTAACAGAGGAAGAGGTTCCAGAAGGTCCGGTAGCACAGGATCAGAAACGGAAACCGAAGCAAAGGAAGGTCAAGAAAATCAAACCAACGGATGATACGGATGACATTATTGAAAGGCTGTTAAACTTGGAGGTGAAAAAGACAGAACTTGAGCAATACGAAAAGGTAGACGTGGAGTTCAAGAAGAAACCGAAAACCCTTGAACAAGTTACCATAGAGGAACATCCAGAAGTTGAAGAGATGGTTCGTACTGAGGAAGGGAAGATTACCAAGCAGGTGGTTAAAAAGAAGGTCATCAAGAAACGGGTTGGCCCGAAGGTGGAGGTGACGGAAGTCGTCACAACGCAGCAACAAGGCAGAGAACCCGAAATTACCGAAACCATTACCGAGGAGATTTTTAAGCCATTCGAGACGGAGCCACAGCTTATTGAAGAAGCCACTCTAATTGAAGAAGCACCAGAACAGGTTGAGGTAATGCAGACGGTAACTGAAACAGGGGAGATTGTAACTGAGATTATCAAGAAGAAGGTTTCCAAGAAAAAGGCTAGAAAGATTGAGCCAGAAGCTATTGAACTGCCTGAGGAAGAAATGGAGGAATTCTTGATAATCCCAGCTTTACCAGAGCAAATTTTGATTGAAGAGCTTCCTGAAAAGGTTGAAGTCACTGAAACCGTGACGACCGAAGGTAAACCGAAGAAACGGGTCACAAAAACTAAAGTTATCAAGAAGATTACTGGAGACAAAGTTGAGGAAGTTCAAGTGGTAACGGTCCAGGAGGACGATAAACCAGCAGAGACCACTGTTACACTTTCGGAAGAATCGATTCCAGTTGAACCTGTTAGGGTAGAAGAACAGCCAACAGAAGAAGTTAGGCCTAAAAAGAGGAAAATCAAGACAATTAAGAAAATTGGTGAAGAAACAGATGACATAATCGAGAAGCTTCTAAATTTGGAGGTGAAGAAAACTGAGCTCGAAAGGTACGAAAAGGTAGACGTTGAACCACGTCAACGATTGAAACAGGTTGAAGAGATCACGGTTGAGCCAATTCAGGCCGAAGAAGCCATCATTGAAGAGCTTCCTGCAGAGCATATGGTTAAACAAGTCACAACTGTAGTCGAAAAGCCGAAGAAGGTTGTAACAAAGAAACAAATAATCAAAAAGAGAATAGGTGATAAGGAAGAAGTAACGGAAGTTGTGATGGTTCAAGAAGACGACAAGGCTCCAGAAACAACGGTTACTGTAATGGAGAGCGTTCAACCCTTTGAGGTAGAACAAGTCCCACAAGAGATGGCAATCGTTGAAGATGCTTCCCAATTGCTCAATGTCAAAAAGAGAACCATCAAGACTAAGAAAAAGGAAACCAAAATGGTGACCGAGGAGGTTCCACAAGAAGAAACTATTCCGATTGAGCCACAACCAAGCGAACAAGTTCAAATGGTGATCGAAGAAATGCCTGAACAGGTGGAAGTCATTGAAACGATTACCGAAGAAGGCAAACCAAGGAAGCAAACGAAGAAAACGAAAGTCATCAAAAAGAAAACTGGTGACACTGTTGAAGAGGTTCAAGTCACCACCGTACAGGAAGACGATAAACCAGCTGAAACAACGATAACGGTTACTGAAGAAGTTGACGAACCTTTGCCAGATGTCGAAGGTGTGCAGCAACAAGAAAAACCTAAACTTAGGAGGAAGAAGGTAAAGACAACCAAAAAGACTACGACGGATGATATGGATGATGTCATAGAACGATTGTTGAATTTGGAGGTAAAGAAAACAGAACTTGAACAATACGAACGAATCGATGTAGAGTTTAAGCCCCGAACGAGAAGATTCGAGGAAACATCGGTTGAAGAATTCCCAGAAACTGTCACGGTACAGCACACAGACGATGGTGCGGAAACCAAACAGGTGACTAAGCGAAAAGTAATCAAAAAGAAAGTCGGCAAAAAGGAAGAAACAACCGAGGTCGTAACGATACAAACAGGAGATTCTGAACCAACAACAACGGTTACCGTGACAGAAGAGGAGCTTCCGTATGAGCAACCTGAGGAGTTCATTGTGGAACAGGTGCCAGCGGAAACTGCCGTTATTGAAGAGCTGCCGGAGGAGGTAAAAGTAACGGAATTCATCACTGAACTTGGAAAACCGAAGAAACAAGTCACTAAGAAGCGAACTATTAAGAAACGAACCGGAGATAAGGAGGAAGTGGTAGAAGTTGTAACCGTGCAAGAAGATGACAAAGAGCCTGAGACTACAGTTACCATCACGGAAACTGAACCAGAGCCAGAAGTACCAGCTGTCGTTGAAGCCGTGCCGATTGGACAAGCAACGGCTGAGGTGAAGCCCATTGAGAAGCCGAAACCAAAGAAAAAGAAGGTTAAGACTATTAAGACTTCAGAGACAGCCGACGATATCATCGAAAAGCTTCTGAACCTGGAAGTAAAGAAAACTGAGCTCGAGCAATACGAGCGCATTGACGTTGAATTCAAGAAGAAGCCAAAATTGACAAAGGAAACGTCACTTGAACAACCGAAACCCGGTGTAGCAGAGGTTATAGATGTGGAAGAGGCTCCTCTTAAGATAAAGGTTTCAAAGAAGTCGAAACAGAAGATGGCTGCAACAACTGAAGAAGTGGTTGAATTGCTATTGGCAAAGCCAGTTATTTCCGAACCTGCGGAACCAGAGGAAGTGGCAGAAGATCAGATGGAAAAGCTAATTCCAACTGTCGTTGAGGAAATAACCGAAGAGGAAACAACTCCGGACGGCACAAAACATGTTATCATCAAGAAAAAGATTGTAAGGAAAAGGGTAACCAAGGAGAAACCTACCGAGGAGGAGCTACTGATGCCAGACGAAACAGTGACTGAAATTGTGGAACAACTGGAACCGTTACCTTCGGAAGTACCGGAAGTTGTTAAAGCGATTCCGGTTGAAGAGTTATCAGAAGAAACGACAACTGAGTTTACTTTTGCTAAGCCGGAAGAACAGGAAGCAGTTATTGAAGAATATCCCGATGAAACCTTCACATATGAGGAGAAATCCTTGAAGCAATTGCAGAAAGAGCAACTCCAACCAGAAAAAGAACCTGAAGTCAAAAAGAGTCTGAAGAAAATCAAGAAAAAGGTCAAGAAACCTGATCAACCTGATGAAGACGAAGCACTGGAACGATTGCTCAATCTAGAAGTGGAGAAAACACAACTGGAAACATACGAGAAGTTTGAGCTGGAAACCAAACCCAAACCGGAAAAACCAAAACCTAAACTAGAAGCAATAAAAATTGAACGCAAAGAACAGAAACCCACAAAGTTGCAGATAACTGAACCGGAAGAGCTTCCACAGATGGTCAAGCTGAGAAAAGTTAAGGTCCCCGGAAAGAAGGAAATTGAGGAGGTGGTGGTACCGAAAGTGCTTTTGAAGAGCCGTATCGTTGTGGTGGAATATCCTCCAGCGGTTCAGTTCCCACAACTGAGCGAACTGATTACGAATAAGGGCATTGGTGAGCTAACAAGAACAGAAGAGGAGGAAGAAAAGATCAAACTGAAGAAAATTAAGAAGATTAAAACTACAAAACACGATAAGCTGGAACTGGAGAAAGTCGATCTACCAGAATATGAAGAGGAGCAACCGGAAGAAGAAGAGGTTCCAGAAGAGAAGGAAAAGTATCAACGGAAACCGAAAGATAAGACTGAAGAAGAGCCGGAAGTGAAAACATTGAAATTGGGTAAGGGCAAGATCAAGAGGGATGAACCTACAGAGGAAACTGTAACGCTCAAGAAAACTCCGAAGAAACCGAAGGAAGATACTGAAGAAGAGACAATATCGGTGAAGAAGCCGAAGCAAAAGCCTGAAACGGTGGAAGATGATAAGAAACATAGGCACGTTCAAAAACCGAGCTTCCAACCCACTGACATACCAGACGTCGAGGTGGAAATCGAAGAATACAGAAAACCATCACCTGTTCCGGATGAACCGGAGGAAAAGATTCCAGAGAAGAAGAAGCGTCCAAAGAAGCCCAAGGAACCCAAGGAGGAAGAAGAAATCGAAAGACCTCTGATAATGGGTAAAGGCAAGAAGCCGGAAGAAACACCCGAAGAAGATGTCAAGTTCAGAATACCAACCTCCAAGAAACCGGAAGACAAAGAGGAGCAGATCAAATTGAAACCAATCTCCAAGCCAACGAAAGATACAGATGATACAGAAAAACAAGCTGACAGAGAACTTGGTCTGCCTGTTCCTGCGGAAAAACCAGATCAAACGGAAGAAGAAAACATCACCGTTCAGTTAAGGAAAAAGAAAATAATCAAAAAGAAATCTCCCAAAGAGAAACCTGATGAAGAACCGGTTGAGGAAGCCACCTTTGAGGAACCTGACCAGCAGGTTACCGTTGTTGAACAACCTTCAGAAGAGACCCCTGAGCCATTGAAACCAGTCGAACAGCCTGTTGCTGAATGGGAAAAACCAACAGAGATCCCGAAAGAACCAGAGACACAGGCAGTAGTTGAAAAGCTACCAGAGCAGGTGGAAATCAAGGAAATAACAACAGCTGAAGGTGAACAGCATAAGCAAATTATCACAAAGAAAGTGATCAAGAAAAAACGACGCGACAAGGAAGAAGTGATCGAAATTGTTACCGTACAAACAGGAGATGAAGCTCCCGAAACTACGGTTACAGTTAGCGAGATAACCCCTGAGGAGTCAACCCTCGAACAGCCCAAAGAACCGAAGATTCGTGTGAAAAAGGTCAAAGTCCCGAGCAAAAAGGACGACATCGACGAAATCGTACAAAGGCTGCTCGATCAAGAGATCACCAAGACTGAATTAGAGCAGTACGAAAAGTTCGACTTGGAAATAACTAAGAAACCGAAACCAGTAGAACAACAACAAGTTGAGGTTGTCCAGAAGAAAACAGTAAAGAAAGCAAAACTAAAAGAAATCAAGCAACACGAAACCCATTCATTACAAGAAACACCAACAGATACCTCAGATACCCTAGAACTCACGCCAATCGAGGCACCAACACCAGACACACTACACACAACTATCACAGAAGAAAAGCCGAGAATCAGTAAGTATAGAAACAAATGAAGACACATCCTAAAAATATTCACAAGAAACGAATCAGTATTGTAAACATAACCTGAGTTACCGATAAGTTTTAGTCTTAGTTGCATGATCGAAAATATTGCTCCAAAGCACTAATCGACTTTTCTTCATAACAGGTGCCGATACGGTTGAACTGAGGGAAGATGTATTCGAGACCAAGGAGTTTGTTGCGGAAATACCGGCCACTGAGGAAGTAGCTCCGGTCGATATTCAGGATGTCACCATACAACCCGTAGTCGGACAAAAACCATTATTGGAGGCAGCCCCTAAGGAAGAAGCCTTCGAGCAACCCATCGAGGAAGTATTCGAAGTGCCGGCAGCTCTGCGGGATGAGGTGCAGATCACTGCCACCGACATTCCATCGGAAGCAATTGAGAAACCTTTCGTCAGCAAACCTACTTTGGAAGCTGCACCAAAGGAAGAAGCCTTGGAGCAACCTTTCGAAGAGACGTCCGTCGCTCCTGAGTTCCCACTGGATAGGGTTGAGATCCAAGCTGTTGAAGTGACAGACTTGATCACTGAAAAGTCTGCAGTTCAAAGAAAACCACTGCTGGAAGCGGCTGCAAAACAGGAACTGATAGAAGAGCAAGTCGAAGAAACAGATAATGTCCCCTCCCTGTCGATGGATGAAATCATCCCGATGGCAGTGGACGTAGCCGATCAAGCCACTGAAAAATCATTCGTCCATGGGAAACCACTGCTGGAAGCAGCTCCCATCGAAGAACAGCTAGATCTAAGCATTGAAGAAGCAGATACAGTTAAATCTCTGTCCATGGATGAAATTCAGGTAGCTCCTATCGATATACTCGATGAAGCTACTGAAAAGCCACAAATCCACGAGAAGCCAACATTGGCAGCAGCTCCAGCTGAATCGCTGCTTGAACAGAAAACAGAAGAAGCTGAAACTGCTCCATCCCTGTCACTGGACGAAGTGCAGGTAGCTCCAATTGAAGAATCACTTGCTGCTCCTGCCGAACAGGCTAAGGTTGCTCCAGAGATCGCTGTACAGGTTGCTCCTGAGCCGACCAAGAAGGTCAAGAAGGTCACTAAAGTGAAGAAGAGCAAGAAATCCATCGATGATGACGAAGAGCTGCAGCGTTTGCTGAACTTGGAAATCGAGAAAACAGAACTAGAGGTCTATGAAAAGGTTGATCTCGACGCCAAGGAGAAGATCAAACCGGAAAAGGGTGAGCCAGTCAAACTAGAACCTATCCAAATAGAACGAAAAGAACAAAAACCAACCAAACTTGAAATCACAGACACACCAGAACCACAGACAATCAAATTGCGTAAGACCGTGTTGCCCGAGAAGAAAGAGATCGAAGAGGTCACTGTTCCGAAAGTTTTACTTAAGAGTAGAGTCGTACAGGTTGAGTATCCACCAGAGGCTCAAAAGCCGCAAGTCGTCGAACTAGACACCAAGCAAGGCGTTGGCGAACTCTCTAGGATCGAAGAGGAAGAAGACGAGCGAAAGATCAAGAAAATCAAGAAGATAAAGATAATCAAGAAGGAGAAACCAGACCTTGAAACTCTCGATATTGAAAAATACGAGAAGGAACCTACCGAGAAGGAAGAGAAGGAAGAAGACAAGCCTAAATATCAACGACAGGTAAAGGAAAAACCCGTTGAAGAAACGGAGGACAGGACACTTGTCTTGGGTAAAGGTAAGTTAAAGAAGGAAGAAGATGAAACCGAAGAAATAAAGCTGAAGAAAACGCCTACCAGACCAAAGGAAGAAGAAAAGGTTGAAGAAGCACCTAAGAAAAAGAAAGAAGAGAAGCCAGTCGAAGAGGAGAAGGTTAAGAAACAAAAGCATGTTGAAAAGCCTACTTTCACTCCTTCGGATATTCCGGATGTTGAAACCGAACTAGAGCCATACGAAAAACCAGTTCCAGAACCGAAGGAAAAACCAGTCAAGGAACCCAAGAAACCAAAGGTGCCTAAGGAGCCTAAGGTTCCAGAAGTGCCCGAAGAGCCAGAGCACAAAATCGTACTTGGAAAGGGAAAACTCCCCGAACCGGAGCCGGAACCGGAAGTCAAATTCCGCATACCTGTTGGCAAGAAACCGGAAGAAGAACCCGAAGAAATTAAGCTCAAGCCATTCAAGAAACCATCTCCCGAAAAAGAACCTACGGAGCGAGATGCCGATCGGGATATGGCTCTACCAAAACCGAAAGAATATCCAGAAGAACCAGAAGCAGAGATAACGATCAAGAAAAAGAAAAAGAAGGTTCTACAGGAACCGGAAGCTCCAGCCGCAGCTGAAGCAATTCCTGAACAGGCACCAGCGCCGGAAGAGCCTGTCAAACCGGTTGAGATGCCACGAGAGGAACCTAAAGTTGAAGAACCAGCACCGGTAGAGGAGATTAAGAAGCCAAAGGAACTTCCAGTAGAACAACCGATTGAATTGGCCACTCCAAAGCCAGTGGAAGAAACTACCGAAGAGTTTTCGGCCCCAGTAGCTCCCACGGAGAAACCTACTGAAATTCAAACGGAGGCACTTCAAGAACCCGAAATTACACAGCCGGAAGTTCGTGAGGTCAAAGAAGAAAAGAAGAAAGTAATCAAAAAGATTAAGAAACCTAAGGCTAAGTCTGAAGATGATGATGAACTGCAGCGGCTGTTGAACTTGGAGGTCGAAAAGACTCCATTAGAACAGTACGAAAAGGTTGATCTGGAACCAAAAGAAAAGGAGAAACCAGCTCCAGAGGTTAAGCCAGTTCAAGTAGTGAAACCGGAGGAGCCTAAGGTTGAACCCGTACCCGTGCCGAAACCAGAACCAGTCGTACAAACTGCAAAGATTATAGAGCAAGAACCGGTTCCCGAACATGTGGCTCCTGAGAAGGTTGAAGAAAAACCTTTGGCCGAAGAGGCTGTCCCTAGTGAGGTTAAGGTAGACTTGATAAGTGTCGAGCAAGAGAAACCGGTTGAAATCAAACAGGATGTTCCTGTACAGGTGGAGGAAGAGGAACCAGTTGAACCAGTGAAGAAGCCAAAGGAGAAGAAAATTATCAAGACAGTCATCAAGAAGCCCAAGAAGGCATCCATTGACGATGACGAACAGCTTCAGAAACTGCTGAACCTTGAAATCGAAAAGACAGAGCTTGAGAAATACGAAAAAGTCGATATTGACATTACGAAGAAGCCTAAAAAGGTGGATGAAGTGGTTATTGAACAAAAACCAGAGGAACCCAAGGTGGAAGAAGTCCCCGAAGAGGTTATGATCAAGCCAAAGCCCAAAGTAAAGGTTGTCAAGCCGGTTGAAGAGGAAGTTGAAGTAGATTTCAAGATTCAGAAGAAGCCACGATTGCCGAAACAACCGCAAGAGGTTGAAGAAAGCATCACACTGAAGCCAACTCCGCAGAAACCGGAGGAAACGGTAACCGTTGAACGTATCATCAAGATTGAGGTGGAACGCCCAGAACCGGTCACTATTGAGCCAGTGATTGAGGAAGCTGATGAGATCACCATTCAACGCGAGGAGATTTCTTCCATTGAGCCTTTGGTTGAAGAACCAGCGGAGGAGGTAATCGAATCGGAGGAGGTAGTACCGATTCAACCTATTCAGGAGGAAATTTCCGAAGCACAACCCCTCATCGAAGATGCGGTGCTCGAACTACCTTCCGAGGAGACACCAGCGATCGTTGAGTCTGTCCCAATTCAGCCGATCATAGAGGAAATAACTCCGGTAGTACCTTTGCGTAAAGTGTCACTCAAACCCGTGCCCAAACCAGCTCCCGTTGAGGAAGAGAAACCTAAGGAGAAGCCCAAAAAGAAGACCGTTGTGATTAAGAAAAAGAAACAAAGCCTGGACGATGATGCCGAGCTGCAGCGCCTTCTGAATCTCGAGGTCGAGAAAACAGAGCTGGAGATGTACGAAAGGGTTGACGTTGACTTTAAGAAACGCGAGAAGATGCAGATTGAAGATCAACCTCAGCCACAGCGAGCTGTAGAGTCTACGGTTGAACCGGAAGAAACAATTAAACTGAAGCCCAGAAAGAAGAGCTTGAAGCCTTCGGTTGAGACAATCGAGGAAACGGAGGTTGCATTCAAATTGAAGCCAAAGAAGAAGCCGGAAGTAATGGAGGAAGATGCTACGGTCACTCTGAGGAAGCAAAAGCCGAAGGTGGTTGAAGATACTGAGGTTGAGGAGATAATTAAATTGAGACCGCTGGTGCAGAAGCCAGAAGAGGTTGAAGCAGTTGAGGAGAGCATAAAACTACAGGCAAAACCGCAACCTTACGTCACGGATGAGGCTGAGGCATCGCTGAAGATTGTCAAGGAAGCTTCTCCGGAAGAAGAGAAGCCCAAACCAAAGAAGAAGGTGATCAAGAAGAAGAAGGAAGATGATGTAGATGAGATCACTAGAAAATTGTTGGAGATGGATGTGCCAAAGACTGAGCTGGAGAAATATGAAAAGATCGACATTGATGTGTCGAAGAAGCCAAAAGAAACGGTAGAAAAGGAAATTGAAGCTCCAGCAGAGGAGGTCGTTGAGCATGTCGTCATTCGCAAGCAACGGCCACGTCCAAAGCCAGCATTCCGCAGAGAGGTTCTGGATGAAGAAGAAGTGAGAATCAAAAAGATCAAGAAGGTCCGCCAGCCACGGCCGGTCTTCAAGGACATCGAACCTTCAACAGTAACATTCCAGCCAAAACGAGTTAAGCATATCGAAGACATTGAACAGGAGTTCAAGATTCAGTTGGATTCTTATGCTCGTGAGGAAATATCCATGACAGGAAGGGTCAAGTTACCTGCTCCGTATAGCTACGGAGAAGAAACCGGTGAAGCGCACATAACTATCATCAAAGAGGTTAACGAGGATGATGAGGTTGTGTACGAAGTAATTTACGACGACAGCGAAGTTGACGTCGAAGAGGACGAGTATGATCGCTACGCTGAAGATACTGAAAATGTGGTCCTAGAGCTTCGCAAACGCCGCCAAAAACTTGAGAGTCTCATCGTACACCACGAGGAGGAGATTTCGATCGACCTGACCCGCCGCAAATCGCAAGTCACACACGAAGAAGAATCATTCACACTGAAACAACAAAAGAAGTCATTGGCAACATACTCTGAAGGTTTTTATCGAATTTCAGTTATCCGCAAATTTGGCCTGACGTTCTTTGCCAGTAACCGATTTTACAGAGTTTTTGATTTTAAATAATTAACACATTCTATCTCTTTATTACTATTTTTACTTTCCAAAATAAAACACACTATGAAATAATCAACAACAACATGCTTATCAAAGCAAATCAAAACTTGATCACCTCTTCCAGTACTCAAACTATTACGCTTCAACACTGCTACTGATACTGAAACACTGAATAACCTGATCAAAATGGGTTCCTAGGTCCTGCGGAGTTTTGTCCTCTCTATCTATTTCCGATCTTCTCTATCTGCCCAAAGAACTCAGCTAAACAATCGCGCTGTAAATAAAGGCAGATCTAATATTTTATAGCCAAACTACTTTTAAGCAAATAATCAGAGGGACTCACCAAATGCTCCAACCCTTCACTAAAGGACCAATCTCCCAACCTTCCTGATCTATTGCGCTTTCCTGTAAATATCTATAACTCTGCTATTTCTCTTCTTCTTTTTCTTCTCTCTGATCTTTCAGTTACTAATGACTTTCTTGCCTCTCTTTCTATCTTACTTAACTCTCACATTTGATTTTTAATCTATCGCTGATCTACACTATCTTGAATTTTGAACTGCGTTTGATCCTTCTCTCTTCTTACTTTTGCACTTGTCTATTTTTTTTACTCTACTCTTACTATCTATCTATTGCACCGAAAATAACTACTTTCCAGATTATACTAGAACCGAGTTTTACCTTGTACTCCAAACGAAGCGCTTACTCTTACGAAGAATTCTAATATACATTTTTTTCTGTTTTCGTTATCAAATCTGTGATCGTCTTTACAGAAACTGCTTCATTGAAAATTATCCGTGAAGGTAATTTCAATCTTAAGATTCAAAAAGAAAAACCATTGCTAACTTTGAATCTCTCCACAGAGGAAGCCAATGACATGTACTGTATCGCACCCGTGGAAGCGGAGAATGAAGAAGCAATCCACCTGGTCGAAGGCGAAAAGGTCTTCGTGATCGGTAATTATCGGTAGCAAAACTCCTGGAAGCTCCAAGAGATCTAACCCAACCTCCACATTTCAGATCGCAGTAATCCCGAGTGGTGGTTTGTCAAGCGGTCCTGGAGTGAGGAACGCGGCTTTGCCCGTCGGGAACTGCTTATGGACGCCGTTACCTATCCACAGTACGTTCAGAAGACTCTCAATGAAAAGATCGACAAGCTGCCGGTCTTTGAAAAACCTAAACCAAGCGAAAAGCCCCAGGCACCGAAGATTGTCCAGAAGCTACAACCGATCAGCACTCAAGATGGCTACACAGTACAGTTTGAGTGCAGGGTAGAAGGCTACCCACGACCACAGATTACCTGGTTCCGCCAGACGGCTGTAATCAAGTCTTCCCAAGATTTCCAAATCTTCTATGACGACGACAATGTGGCCACACTGATAATCCGCGAGGTATTCCCCGAGGATGCAGGTACATTTACCTGCGTTGCGAAGAATATTGCCGGTTTTGCAGCTAGCACTACGGAGTTGAGTGTGGACTCGTTCACATCCGACCATGGATCGGAAGTGGCAACCCTTTCTCGCAAGAGTATGTCCCGCGAATCATCTCTCGCCGATATCCTCGAAGGTATCCCACCAACCTTCTCACGCAAACCCAAAGCACAGTACGTTGACGCCGGTTCAGATGTTCTACTGGAATGCCGTTTGGTAGCAATTCCTGAACCAGATATCCAATGGTTCTACAACGGTACCGAGATCACCTCCAAGGATAACATCCAAGTCGTAGTTGAGTCCGACATGCACATGTACTGTACCATTGTTCAGATTCAAAATATCGACAAGGTCCAAGAAGGTTCCTACCAAGTAGTCGCTCGCAATCGTGAAGGTGAATCGTCACTGGATATCACCGTCAAGGTCAAAACTGGAGTGCAAGAGCCTCCACAAATTTTGGAACCACTCAAGAGCATGAACATCCGCCAGGGTGAAACCGTAATGCTATCGACTCAGATTGTCGGTAATCCAACACCCGAAGTGCAGTGGTTTAAGAACGGAGAAATCCTGAAACTCCCAACCCAAGTCGACAAGAACATATACACCGTTACTCTTCTGTCGCCAACGCACGACAACGCTGGTGAGTACACTGTCAAGGCGAAGAACGCTGCTGGTACCGTTGAGACGGTTGCCTTCCTAACGGTGGACGAGTCCAACTTCGGAAACCCTCAGGCCCCACTGTTCTTGACACGATTTGAAGAACAAAGCGTTCCACAGGGTGGTACCATCAAACTGCCAGCAAAGGTCTCCGGTAACCCCGTTCCGGAGATCCTATGGCTGCGCAATAACAACACTCTTTTGACAACCAAGAAGGTCAGGCAGGCCTACGATGGACAGAACATTGAACTTACCATCTCGAATGCCGACTCCGAACAGGATTCCGGAAACTACAAGTGTATTGCCTCCAATACGGTAGGCAAGGCTTCGCATGGCGCTCGAGTCACCGTTGAAGTCGATAAGGTGACATTCGTCAAGAAGCTAAAGAAGACCGTGACGGTTGAGGAAAGCAAATCAGTTACCTTGGAATGCGAAACCTCACATACCGTATCGACCAAGTGGTTCCATAATGGTAAGGAAATGAGCGGAATGGACCACCGGGTGATTGTTCAAGAAGGCAAGGTCCACAAGGTGGTCATCAAGAACCCAACCATCAAGGACACTGGAGTGTACAAGTGCACGGTTAAGGACCAGGTTACCGAGTGCAGCTTGACAGTGCTGGAAGCCAAGCCAGAGTTCTTGCGTAAGCTGGAAGACGTCGAAACCAAGGAGAAGCAGAGTGCCGTACTGGAGGTGGAGATAACTTCGGAAACGGCGGACGTCGTTTGGTACAAGGAAGGTAAGAAGGTTGTAGAAGAGAAGGGCAAATATGAGTTCTCCAAGAAGGGTAAGACCCGAACTCTGCTGGTCCGAAGCACATCGGTGCACGATGAAGGCGAGTACACCTGCGCATTGGCAGATCAGGAATGCTCCGCTGAAGTGGTGGTCATCGAGCTACCACCGGAAATCATAACTCATCTGAAGGATGTCACGGTAGCTCGTGGAGAGAATGCTGTGTTCGATATCGAGTTGACCAAGGGTGATGCTTTGGTTCGGTGGTACCGAGATGATACGGAGCTATCTTTCAACGGACACTACCAGCTGACAATCGATGGAAAGCGACAGACGCTCAAGATCATCAAGACCGTCGATGAGGACACTGGAGTGTACAAATGCGTTGTCGGTGATCAGCTATCCACTGCTAGGCTGACGGTTGAACGGCCACTGGTTGACTTTGTCAAACGGCTGCCCGATGTTACTATTGCTACCAAAGAAACGGACGCTGTATTCGTGGTGGAACTTTCCGAATCTGCCGAGGTCACGTGGTACAAGAATAGTAAGAAAATCAAGGCCTCCAGCAAGTACGAGCTGGTAAGTGAGAAGAACGTTCGTAAGCTGATTGTGAAGAACGCCACGGAGGACGACGAAGATGAATACACGTGTACGATCGCTAATGTTAAAACGTCATCCAAGTTGAAGGTCGAAGTCATCAAGGTTGCTCCGACGATCTTCGATGATGGTTCGAGGACCTACACGATTCGCAAGGAGGACGATGTAACGTTCAATGTTAAATTCAACGCTACGCCCAAACCGGATGCCGAGTGGTACGTAAATGAAAAGCTGATCATCCCGTCACCACGGTTCGTCTCCAAGGTTACGGAGGAAACGGCAAGCTTGACTATCAAGAAGGTTGTCGAGTCGGATGCTGGGGAATACACCGTGAGGTTGGTGAACGAGTGCGGCGATGCAAGTGCGTCGTTTACGCTGATTGTTAAGAGTAAGTATGGTGCTGTGATGGATTTCGGGGAACTTTCTAACGGGGCTCGTTTTCTCATGATTTCAGGACAACCAGGTGCTCCGGACGCTCCAGAGGCCACGCAAATCACGGACGATTCGATTACCCTGTTCTGGAAGTCACCTGAAGATAATGGAAATAGTACAATCACCGAGTATATTTTGGAGTACCAGGAGAAGAGTAAGAAGAAGTGGACCGAGATCACCAACATCTCCGAGACCACCACTACGGTCACCAAGCTGACGAAAAATTCCGAATACACATTCCGTGTGACTGCGGTTAACGAGATGGGTAAAGGACCGGCTTCGCCTAACTCTCCGTACTACAAGATCGCCGCTCCGGTCAAGAAGGAAGCTCCGCTGGTGAGCGAGCATCTGAAGGACGTGCATATTGGACTGGATCAGACGATTACCCTAACCTGTGTGGTTAACGGTGTTCCGACTCCGGAGGTGACGTGGTACCGCAACGGAGTGGTCCTGAAGGAAAAGACCATCACATACGAGAATGGAGCTGCGAAGTATGTGGTTAGCAAGACTATCAAGGAAACTAGCGGTTCGTACGTGTGCAAGGCAGTCAACGAAGTCGGTAGCGTCGAGAGCAGCTGTAAGGTCGTGATCGAAGAGAAGCCAACCGTCACTGTGGATAAGAAGCAGATCGTTCAAAAACTTCGTGTTGGAGATGAATGGACTGTGGTGGCCAACTTTGGAGGTTATCCAGTTCCGGATATTGTCTGGTACCGAGAGGAAGAGGTTATTGAGTCTACGGCTGAGCACACAATCGTGACTACGAACATGACTTCTACGATTGTGATTGGAGCCTTGGATCGTTCGGATAGTGGCAAGTATGTGATTGAAGCAAGAAGCTCTGCCGGGTCGGCAAGCGTTGAACTGCAACTCAAGGTTATCGATAAGCCAAGCAAACCGGAAGGACCGATCGTCATCAAGGAACTCAGTCCGGAGGCCGTTGTGATCGAGTGGAAGCCACCAGCGGATGATGGTGGTTTGGAGATTTCGCAATACTCGATTGAGAAGTGTGACGATACCAACAAGAACGCATGGATCAAGGTGGCCGATGTTCAGAAGAACATCAAATCGTACTGCATTCAGAAGCTAGTGGACACGACTCAGTACCACTTCCGTGTGATCGCACAGAACCCTATCGGTTGTTCGGAACCACTGGAGAGTGCTACTGTTACCGTCAGGCAGGTTCTGGAGCCACCGTCTCCACCACGTGGACCGATCGAGACTTCGGGCATGTCGAGCCACTCGTTTACACTGACCTGGGAGCCATCGGAGAATAACGGTGGAAGCAAGATCACCGAGTATATGGTAGAGATGAAGGAATCCAAGAAGAAGGTTTGGAAGGTCGTTGGAAGTACCAGCGGCAGTGAAACATCTCTGCTGATTGAGAATTTGAACGCTGGACGCGGTTATGACTTCAGGATCTATGCAAAGAACAAGATCGGAACGAGTGAAGCTCTCCAGACGGAGGAGTCGATCATCGCCGGCAAGGAAATCAGTAAGTATTTATGGGTAGAAAGATCACGATACGCTAACGCTTATGTCCTGTGCTGTACTAAACTTATGATTCATGTTCTGTGCATTCCACAAAATCTTCTATTTAACATGTCACACTATCACACCTCGCAGTTAACGAACACCTCTCTACTTCTGTTCTATATAAATTCTTGAATATCTGGTACTCTTTGGAGTTCAAGATTTCTTCTATTAATATTCAATCTGTCTGACTGACCAATTTGCCCAGCTCTGTAGGATATAGAAGTAACACAACACTGTCGTAGCAGTGACTAATCATACCAATTCACACAAACCTTCATACTTTTCGTAAACAACAGCACCACCATCCGCGCCACGAAATCTGCGCATTGTCAACGTAACCAGCAAGAGCATCAAGCTCGAATGGCAGCAGCCGGAAACGAACGGCGGCTCGGACGTGACAGGTTACGTGATCGAGAAACGGCTCACCACTGCCCAGCAGTGGACCAAGATCAAAACCCTAGACGCCAACTGTCTCAGTTACTGCGTCGACAACATTAAAGAAAAGTCTGAACTAGAATTCCGCGTGTTCGCCGAGAACGTCATAGGGCTAAGTCCACCGGCCACTTCCGAAACAGTTACACTGAAATCACATGCCAGTAAGATCGATGTTTCCCTGTTAAGATATCTGTTCGATGTCAAACCGTCCTGCGCTGTAGTCTTGAACGCGCTAACCGTTTTCTTTTCCGTATTCCCATCAGCGGTGCCTTCGCCACCAACTGGACCCCTGGAGGTGCGCTACCTGGGTCCCAACATCAACATTGTCGAGTGGGGCATTCCCGAGTCCGATGGAGGTGCGCCATTGGAGGGATACAACATCGTCATTCGCAATGTCCGGAAGACCATGTGGATGGAGGTTGGCCAGGTGTCGGCCGACTGCCAGTCGTTCAACATCAAGGACCTGGCCGAGGACGAGGAATACCTGATCCGTATCATCGCCCACAACGAGGTCGGCAACAGCGACCCGCTGGAGTCGGAAGAACCGTACCGGGCTCAACTGGGAGCTGGTGAGTGTTTCTTGATGTCTGTTTTCCGTTACTCTACTTTACCAGGTACTGTTGATTTTCCAAAGGAAGATCGGTGGTCTTCCTGAGGAAGATCGGTGGTCTTCCTGAGGAAGATCGGTGGTCTTCCTGAGGAAGATCGGTGGTCTTCCTGAGGAAGATCGGTGGTCTTCCTGAGGAAGATCGGTGGTCTTCCTGAGGAAGATCGGTGGTCTTTCTGACGAAGATCGGTGGTCTTGCTGAGGAAGATCAGTGGTCTTCCTGAGGAAGATCAGTGGTCTTCCTGAGGAAGATCGGTGGTCTTCCTGAGGATGATCGGTGGTCTTCCTGTGGAAGATCGATGGTCTTCCTGTGGAAGATCGGTAGTCTTCCTGTGGAAGATCGGTTCCTGTGAAAGATCGGTTCCTGTGAAAGATCGGTAGCTTTCAATTGGAAGATCGGTAGCCTTCCTGTGGAAGATCGTTAGTCTTGCTGTGGAAGATCAGTGTTTCTGATTAAGATCATGTAATGTAGTGCATGTAATTTGTGGACGCTGAATCGTATCACCTTAAGGAAAATCGAAGGTCGACTATGAGTTCTCGAACTTTCCAGAAATTCTCAGAAATATTCCTTATCCCTTGACATCTGGAGATTCAAAGAACGATCTTTCAGTGGACGTTCAAAGTGCTTTCATTTCCGATGATGTTCAGAAAACTCTTTGTACGAGTTCAGAGAAATTACAGATCAAAATGTGAGATTTTCCAGGCCATGTTGAAACTATTTCTAACGGAACCATATTGGAATTCTATGTCTAAATACCAATGCAGAGCTCAGCAGTCCTCAAAGTATGGAAGATCCTCGACCTTCTTCTATGATTCGGGGAGCTTTTAGTTATGAAGATCTTAACGTTAGGAACTTCTTCAGAAAATTCTGCGAACTATTTCTGAAAATTCTTGAATTTTCCCAATTAAAAACTTCATGGAGAGTTTTCTAAAGCCCCTCAAATTTCTCCTCTAAGATCTATTGACATTCTCAAAACAAACTAGCCTTGGTTCAACGTCTTCCAATCAGGATCTGAGTGCTCCTATTCAACCTCGGAACTCGACACAACATTTTCCAAACAGCAGCAGTCGTATTAACGCAATTCCTTCCGTTTCAGCTCCCGAGGATGCCCACGACGAAACGACAAGGGACTTTACGGAACCGTCCGCCACGAACACATCGTCCTGGCTGAGGGAACACAACATGACCGCAGACATTCACAGCTACGCTCGACACACACTGCTCAGAAGAAGGGAGTACTTCTTCAAACTGTGGGTCAACGCAAAGAGCCTGTTCAAGTGAAGCGATGACAATTCCTAACCAAAACACAAATAGCTCAAGTTCTAACTTATTTAAATTACGTAAATTGAGAGATAGAGAGATGTACATTTAAGAACAATCGACAATCCCGGAGAAAGTCCCAAATCCCTATTAGCCGATAAGACGAGATAAGAAGCACAACTCAGTGGCTCCTCCATAATACGTACACACATTGTTCGTGAAGTGTCGATTTTCCGAGTGCCCAATGGTTTGCAGTTGTATGTAAATGTTACCCTAATCAAATTTCACCGGTTGAAAGGAGAAAACGACTACGATTTGTTTCATGTAACTGTGATACAGAAAGAGATTTTATTGTAGAAAAAAAAAAGCAAATTTCGCCACTCGCTGCTAGAGCAAAGCAATACAAAGAGACAAACAAAAAGCAAACGAAAGAGTTTCACAAATTTTTGACACAAAACAAAACGACGAAATGGCTATCTATGGAAACAGCCATTCGGATCCCCGAGATTTATCTACACTGAAGAGAAAAAACGGAGAAATCGAAAAAAAGTTCTATCCCAAATATATATTTTGTATAGTTATGCTATGTTATATCATATTCTAGTGGAGTAAAATTCTATATGTTGGAACTCACTGCGAATCACGGCAATCGACTGCGCAGCGATTGTCATCAATTGGAGATACCCAAGTGCCCGGTCTCTCGACGAACATCATCGAGGTCAACGAAAAACACAAATTCATAGGGAGACGATTAGTATAGGTGCGTACATTAATCGAAAACTTCAACCGGACCTGGGACGAGCATGGAAGGGTATCTCCGAGGGATGCCGTTGCTACGAAGAACCCCAATTCGCAACACTATTTATACTGTAGAAAATTTGAGTTTTTATTTTCCGTTTTATATTGATTTGAAACGTAAGAAACGACTTCTTTTTGTTCACCAATAGTGTGTTGAAATTAAATGAAAAACGAGTAATACAAACAAATGGTGCAAAGTTCTTAATCAGAGAAACCCGACTACAACCCTGCGTCTAAAGTATTCTACCTTCATAACGCACCCAGCTTCTTCGTTTCTTCTGAACAACCGCATGCATAACATGACTGGCTCATTACCCGAGGTACCTCAATTGGTTGAAACCCATCTACTAACCCACAACCTAGCATGAGCAGCAGCCTATAATGATTGCATGCTAGCGCGCATAAGCGAGACGCCGATTAGGTAACACATGTACTTGTTTTCTTGCTCAAAACTATAACTTTTATTTTCATCGCGAATGATCGCGCGCAAAATTGCCTCCAACTCCGACGGGTCCGAAAGAAGAGAGCAAAGAAACTGCACCCATCTCAGTATAGTGAGAGCATGACGTGGTGAGACCACTCTTAAGGTGCATGTGCGGCTACATGTGCACACCCTCTGCCTGCATCTACCCATAGTGGGATTCTCCCAACTTGGCCTAGTAATGGATTTAGCAGACCGTCCAAGGGGTGCTATTAATGTTCACCCATTACCATGCTACTGCCAGTGCGAAATAACTTGTTACATAGGATCGGGTTGCACGTTGGTACTGGTTCACATGTGTGGAATTAGACTGGTTGAACAATCCGTGGGAAGTGCAATACTAACCTGACGGTATCCAAAAAGGAAAACAAATGACAAAACCAAAAGATAGACCTCACCGACGCACAGTGGACACCGTCCATACAAATCTCGGACAAAAATGCAAAAGTTGTCTGAATTTGATGGAAATTTCATATTATAGTGATTTTAGGATGCTGCGTCCGTTTTTGATGTTTTTACTTTAAGTGGCGATCCATAGAGTTATATTGAGGGAAAATCAGCCCTCCTCTCCCCCTTTCAATGCATTTTGCCTAGATTTAATACATTGTTTTTCAGCGATTCTTCATGTCCCCCTCCCGCTTTAGAGCATGACGTACTTAATGGACTATGATTGACACTAAAACCATTAATGCCATTACACGGACTTCATCTGCACAGCGATGTTACCTGTGCAAAAGCCACATGCAAATTTCAATGATAAAAAAAAACCTATTGAAACTGCCTATTTAAATTCGAAATTATTAGTCTACACTGCTGGATTTGTTGCTTTGAATGTTTATTGCATACCCAGGCAACCAGAAGTCGTATAACAATATACAGACAATATCGTTAATTGCTACAGTTTAAGTCAAAATCGCATATAAGAATGGCATACCTCGCATTATGGATAAGTTAAATCGTATAGAATGCAAATTTCCGACGTTTGTATATCACGAAAACAACTTTGAATATACGTGCATTCTGGTTGTCTGGGTATCGCCAACAGGCTCAGCTTTTGCAAGTGGATAAAATTAGGTAATATGGATGAATATAATCGCAACAAGAATCGCATTCAGACAGAGTTCTTCAGTAAACTTGGCCTGCACGTTGATAAACCTCGTCCTGGTTTTGGCACAAGCAATACTGACAACACCGCAAGGGGTTTTTTTTTTTTTTGAAAATGTGGAAATATCTTCGGCAATCACATCAATTTGATAATAAGATTTCGGACCCTGTTAAAAGCTATTTGTAGTGGAGAATCCATTGATTCTGAAAAGCTTCAGAAATATGCCACAGACACGGCTCGTCTGTACGTCCAACTCTATGACTGGTACCGACATCGGTCCATAAGTTGCTGATTCACGGACATTCAATAATAATTAACGAAGCATCAGTACCGATTGGCAAGCTTTCAGAGGAAGCTCAAGAAAGTATGAATAAGGAGCTTCGGAGAATGCGCAATGACAATGCCTGGAAAGGATCACGAGAAACAACGCTAAGCGATGTATTTTGCAGATTGTTGGTAGCATCAGATCCGATTGTCACCAGTTTTCGGCATGAAACAGCTAAAGCGTCGAGGGATTTGCCTGAAGAGGTGAAGTCGTTATAAATTTTTGATGAGACACATTATAGTAAGCCTGAATTCGAGGCCAGCGATGAGAGCGATGATAGTTGAATGACGATGAATGAAGTAAATTAATATGGTTTGAGATTAAATAAACGTATTTGAGGATAAAAAACCTATATTTTTTTTACTAAGATATATCTGATTTATCTTGAGGTAATACAAAATTTTCATTGTCAAACATCATCTCTATGAAAAGTGCACTAACAAAAATCAAAGCATCGTAAAATCCTTTTGAGTTAGGTACTACCATGCGTCTCCACTGTTTTTTTTAAATCGTCTCCAAAGTTTTTTGTTTTTGAAAACCTTGGGGCAAAAAGGGGCAAAAAAGTACAATAATTTTCCAACATTGTGCACTACAAGTGATTTTTTCGAACTGTTTCAAAAAAATGTACAAGCTCCTTAAACATTAAGATTTTTAATTGTCTGCATGCCTTATCATTTATTGTCGAATGTAGGAAAGAGAAGGAAGACTTGTATTGGATAAATCGAATGGCAAACATAAGCTGGATGGAAACCCTTCAAATAAAAACCATTTTGACTTAGATCGGATATATAGTTGAAAAGATATATTCATATCAATGACAGAAGTTTGCTGTTGTTTTTTTATGCAAATTCTCACAGAATTTCTCGACCTCCTCACCTTTGAATAGCTGCTAAAAATATATATTTTTTTATAATTTTGTGATATTGAGGGAAAACTTTATTCAACATGTATATGAAAATAACAAAAATTAAAACCATTGAAAACAAAAAAAAAAAAAAAAATTTATAATTTCTTTATTTGTACAGGCTCAATCGAATAAACTTTACAGAGTCGAGTTATCCTTTGCGTTATACATTATTACTGTCTTAAATTTAAAGTTAAAGGAACTGGACCGAGTACTCGCGGTTGTCTCGAGGTTAGTGGAGATTTACATTTTTTTGGATGGGAAAAGGGAAGAAGGAGGTTTGAAATGTGGTTTATGATACAACTATTTAATTAATCCTAAAGCATGAAATTATTTCTATTCATCTTGAAAACAAACATTGACCCAACACGTACAAAATACAAACTAAACACAAGGTTAATCAAACTTACAATCTAAGGTTAATATCCTTAAAGTAAACATATATGAGCTTCATAAACTCCAGATCGCGTCTAGCCAAAATATCCCGGACTGGAACATTAGGTTGTCTACCTCGAGCCCGAAGGGAATCATAAAAATGTGATCTGACTCCACGATACTCCGCACAAGACCAAAGGATGTGATCAGCGTCCTGGTAACCTTGTCCACATTCACAGAGATTGCTATCTCCCAACCCCACACGGAACAAGTGAGCGTTTAGACAATAGTGATTGGACATGAGACGGGACATCACGCGTATGAAGTCTCGACCCAAGTCCAACCCTTTGAACCATGTAAACTTCGACACCTTAGGGATAATTGAATGTAGCCATCGTCCCAAGCTCCCTTCACTCCATTGATGTTGCCAGCTAACGAGCGACTGCTGACGATAAATAGAGAAAAATTCACTATAGGCGATTTGTCGATCATAAATGTCGCCTTTCATAGCGCCCACATTCGCAAGTGAATCCGCCTTCTCATTGCCCAAAACTGAGCAATGCGAAGGGACCCACGCGAAGGTGATGATGAAAGAGCGCACGGATAAAGCACTAAGCAGCTCTCGTATTTTCAAGAGAAAATACGAGAAGTGCTTTACCGGCCTAATGGAACGGATAGCCTCGACAGAACTGAGACTATCCGTAAAAATAAAGTAGTGGTGTGGAAGAAGTGAAGCAATAGTTTCCAAAGTGTAGTGAATTGCTGCCAGTTCAGCCACATACACAGAACAAGGAGCTGAGCGGTTCCATATCATTAACGCAACGAGTAATTTTCATCTTTTTTGATTTGCATGAAACCTTGCATACAAGTTTTTGGGGAAGAAAAACGCCGTTTTGCATACTTGGTTCGCCATTTTGAATCTAGCCTTACTTATGAGAAGGGCCTATGAAAAATGCACATGATATCTTCAAAAAATTGTATCTCGGAAACGGTTTGTCCGATTGGTTTGGTGTCTTGGGCGAAGTTTTAGACAATTGTTGGTGTTATATGGAAAAAATATGCACGGTAAAAAAAAAAGTTTGGTATTTGTGTTTTGAACTAAAATATAAATTTTCTCTTTAAAGTGACATGTCAATATTTTTTTTATTATCCTTATGTTATAGCTGACTGAAAATGCTGTCTAGTGCACAATAGGTTGTTCTGGAGAAAAATAGGTTACAATGAAAAAAATTGTTTTTTAAAAAAATACAATTTTCAAAAAAGCTTTTAAGAAAAGTCAAAAAAAGTTTGTCACCCTAATTTTATGAAAGTACATCAAATTTGCAAACAAAAAGTACTTCGGTAACATTTTTCTAAGATGCACCGTTTAGAAGATATTACTGATTTAATATTGTTTTTTTTTTGATAACTTAATAAGTTTTGGCCCTTTTCGGATGTACTCCGTGTTTTTCCAGTTTCAAAAGTATTTTTTTCGGAAAGATTCGAAAATTTTGAGTTAAAATGACACTGACAGCTTAAAGATTCGAGTGAAATTCTCTGCCTTAAAAGTATTTTGAAAAACAAGTTACAAAATCCCACTATCAGGAACAATGATTTCTTCAAGTGATTTTTGGTGCGTTGTGCTGAAAATGTGCATTCAACTCTTGCATATCGCCTAACAGTTTAATCCATTTAAACTGGATGTGTTTATACTGTGCATATTTTCTCTCTATTGCCGAACATCGCCACAGACATCAAACCGATGAGACAACTCGATTTAGAGATACACCTTTTTGAGAACTGCAAATGTAAGCTCCTCAATTAGCAAGATTAAAAAGAGCGAATTAAGCTTATTTTTCAGGGATGGTGATTGTGCGCAATAAAAAATAACATTATATGTTGGATATCATCAGTTTATTTTTATTCCTGTATTTTTATAAAATTATTGTTTACACAACTTTCTTAACAATATTGAATATTTTGGCATCATTGTCAGGACAGTTTGAATAAAGCTTTGCC